CGGGCCCAAAGTTTCACTGCGTCTGTTTTAGCTCCATGGGTTTGAGCTGCAGGCAGTTCAAGATAAGCAAAACCAATAAACGCTGCCCACTGCTGCCGGTGAGCAACTGAAGCTTCCAGCTTGTGACAGTCAACTTTTTTTACAGTTATCAAACCCATCTTAAAAACAAAAGACAAACATCTCTGAGCCTTATTTTGTTTGACTTGATAGTCGTTTATAGTAGAACAGACATATAAAGTAGACAGTAGATGCTCCAAAACATTAGAATTTTCTAATGTTTTTTTTTCAATGAACGGTTCAGCAGTTATTAGATTAAATTCAGTTCCGTTTTATTTATATATCCCATAATTTCTTCACCTGCTTGCATTTAAATCCAGATCTAGGGTTCGTTCCAATCGATTGAGGAAGCTTCCTCACTGACAGACGTGACCCCAAAACAATGATATGGTGGCAAAAATAAGAGTTCTTCCAATTCTCTAAATATTAAGGAAAGGAACTTAAATGCACAACTGAACTCTGCCAGGTGCTCCTGGCACACCCTCACTATACGTGAAGGTGCACCAGGTCTGTCCAGTGTCCTCTCTTGCCATCAACCCACTACCCATCAGATCAGTGATCAGTCCCCACCCAAGGCACTCAGATAACATAGACCCTGGGATCACTGGAACACACAAACCCTTCCACCACAGAAAGTTGGGGATTTGTGGAGGGTAGTCTAAGCAACTTAGTTATTTTATTATTGTGCTGTATTAAAAATCAAAAGTCTAATTTTGACTTAATTTAACTGGAACAGCTTTGAGAGTAAAAATGTAATGATATCTCACACAAGATTTCTGTCTGACCTTTGTTTAGAAACTACAGGGTTCATATAATAGGATATACAGTTATTTTATAGGAAACATGAGACGAAGAAAGGAGAAGACACCAGATTTCCAAATGCCAAAGGAAAACTGGAGAATGAGAAGTACAGGAAGGAACAGGAGAGAGGAGACAGTCATATCACAATTTATATCACACAGTTTTAAACATTATTCATAACAGCCAAACGTGATTCAGACAAATGTGAGTGCTGTACAGAAGAGGAAACCATAGAGCAAGTTGTACTACACTACGAAGCTGAGAGCAGGGTTAGAAGAATAAAAGCTGACTTAAAGTTATTTAAGACTCGTTTGTTTCGGTTTTTGGAGCGACGTGATTCACACGCCCTACCAGTTGGGGGCGCTAATGCGCCGTTTCGCTGTTTGTCAATCGCTAATAAACATCAAGAAGAAGAAGAAGGTAAAGCAGAAAACGTTAGGACGGTGGTTCAGTAGCCAGTGAATGTGTATTTGTTAGTGCATAATCCCATTCCTCTTTAGTTAGTTAGTACTGTTAGTGTGGAAGTGGGTTGGTGGGTTAGTGGGTGAGTGAGTGGGCTGAGAACAGCAGCAGAAACGGGCTCGTTGCTGGTTTAGCTCGAGCCTAATGAGCTAAACATTACTTGTTAGCTTGTAGCCCAGTCGGTGAACGCAGCGTACAAACCCCAGCTGAAGGTAAGGCTTACAGCGGCCAGCCGTGT